GTAACAAGCTTAGTAGACAAGACATTTTAGTGCTGCAGGGTCATTAATTATTAAGAACAAGATTACATTGCAGTCAAGTGAAGAACAGCCATGACTGAGAGCGAACCGTTTAGTAGAATCATTATCAAGGTTACAAACAGTATGTGAAATATATTGGTGCTCGTTCACCTGCTTGTTCTGGATATTAGAGCAATGTTGAGAGAGAATAAATATGAATGTGATGATCATAAATGTTGAGTTTGCTCAGCACGGAGGATTGACTTGCGTGCTTTTAGACACTTCAGTTTCATCTGTCTCCGCATCCTTCAGGAGAGCATATTTCAATCTCAGCAGCTCCCAGATGCAGACACGGGTTAAGCAGAGGCATGTTGATGCCATGACAGGCTATAGGGAAATGGATGGCATCCCAATCAATGAGCTGACATGGAGGCAGAGACCAGAAAAGGGCACAGACAGGAAATAGATCTTGCTTGTTGTGTAATTAAAACATTCAAGCCAGCAGCGCGTTTTGATTATGTAGGGACAGTTAATCTCTCTGCAATTTCTGTATTCATTTCCCTCGTGAGAGGAAATATGAAATCCCGGTCAGTGAAATGTAGCCTGCCTCCCTGAGATGAGACTTTCTTTAATCTTATCATCAGCTTATCGCTGGTTAATAACAGATGTAGACACATGAGACAGCGACAGTGATTAATTGGATAAGACGAAGGAAATAAAGAGATTTCACATTGATGTTAACTGTATGTACTATAGTAAGAGCAAACATATATGGTGAATCCCAATTCCCCCATTTTATTGGCCCTCAATCTCCACTCGACCCGGAAGTTGTTCTGGTCTGCCATGATGAAGGACGTCCCAAAGCTTTTATTTCTGCTCTGAGGAGCGTGGAGGCTGCCTGGAGGAGCTACAACCGAGGATACATGAGGGCATCCTTTGTGGACGTTTGTTACAGATTGACACGCCCCTTTACCATAAATCAGTTTGTGATTGGACACTTCATGTGAATGATCGGAGTAAAAGATGTCTCTTGTCAGTTAAAATGTGTTTCCTCGGTTCTTCTCTCCTCGCAGTTTGGCCCTGCATCTTATGTGGGTGGGACAAAGACACAAAGAAAAGATGCAAGTGAGGGAGACGTAAATGGAGTTGCAGGAATTGGGTTTCACCTATAGCCTATGTTTTACAAGTTTCTCTAAGCCCCACCCCCTTAGTTACTGTTACTATGATTGTCAAGCTTTCTGCTCCCTGACACAGTTTATCTATTGACAGTATTAATGCTGGCTGGCTAACCAATAACCAAACAAAACAACAATAAAACAAAAAAAAAAAAAAACTTGAGTCTTCAATTTCACATAGGAGCAAACCAGGTGTCATTTTATGTGCTAATGTATGTTTCTAGAGTTAACCCCACAAAATAATATAGGTAGCTAATGATATGTCCCTTGACTTTGGAAATAATAAGAGATTATTACTATAGCTAGTAAACTAATTAGACAAGCATGCTAACATCTTAGACAGATGTGTAGCCTGGTCTGTGTGTAGGAAAGACGAGAACAAAGTTGGTCTCACTGAAACCTAAGACTTTATGTACGTTACATCTTGGGACAATCAAGCTAGAGAGGCATTGCAAAAGGAAGAAAGATAGAAGTATTAGGGTCGTTGTTCCTTTGTCAAATGTAGATGCTCAATATGGGTTGGTTGTTGAAAAAATGAATAAATTAAGCAAACTGATAAAATATACTCATATTTTCAAAAGAAAGGAAACAAGTGAATGTCCTTACTGTAATATCTATGTGGATTTTCTATCTTTCTGTAATGTTTAACGGTGTTTACAAACACATATGAAGTTGGGTCAAGTGTATATAAATTACCATTTGTTTCAAACCAATTCTTCATAGTTAAGCTATTCATGTGTAGAGTAGCAGATCAACACTCTGGATATTAAAAGGGAGTGGAACTAAAATCAAGATTGTTATCACATATTAGAAGGTGGAAAATACTGTACCTGCATGGAGGAACATAAATGCGGCGGTTTGGAGAGAGTCTGATTGAAAGGCAAGAATGGGCACATGATGAAAACTGAAGAGTTATCTTTGAACACAAAGAAATAATGCCAACTAAATTATTGTCAGTATGCACCAGAATGATCCATAATCCAGTCATCCACAATGTTTTCACTAGATGGCCTGCCCAACTTGCTAATTACCTCTGGCTGCAACTAAATATTTGGAGCTGGTAGAAAAATGTTCTTTGTCATTTCACCTGCTGAAAGCAAAAATCTGCACATATGTAATTATAAAGAGAGGTCACGGAGTGCTGAGAATATGCAGGTTTTCATTTTTGCTGTACCAAAGATAACATGGAGTGATTTCTCAATGAAGTCTTGATGGTGTGTTAATCAGTAAAATCGCCTGATGTAGTCTCTGGTAAAAATGAAAACCTGCAGGCCTTCCTGGTATCTTATATACAGAAAGAACATGATAATTATGAACAGTGCTTAAAGAATGTAAACCTGTCTGTCAGTAATGCACACCAATAATAGTTTACATAATTCTCACATTTCCTTTCCTCTTCTCTGTGGCAGTATCCCTTGGAGACGCGTGTGAGTGTGTGTGCCAACAGTATAGTGAACTGCCTTTCCTCGATTTCCCTGCTTATTATATTCTCAGGTTCAAGGAGATAGGCACTCATCTGCATAGGCGGCCCCAGGGCTAGAGCCCCTCTGTGTAGCAGCCAGGTGATTCATACCAGCTCCTGCAGTACAGTCTTACTTTGCAGAGGATTAGATTAAAACCAGTCAGTCAGCTCAGATCACACTGACCCAACAGAAGATGAACCAGGTGACTGCTGTTTGAACATGTTTCTTGTCCTCTCTGAATAGCCTTTTTTGTCACACAACCATGGCAACATGCAAGTTTGTACATTCACCTAAATTTAGAGGCGTCCGCACAGCGAGGGGCAGACCAGTGTGAGCATAACAAATCAAATAAAAGAGAGTTATACTGTGTAATATAAAGGCTGTGATCTGTTAACCTGTCCGTGTGGGAAAAACCACGAGAGACCCAGAACAAAAGGAAGCGGAGCTCTAAAGTTCAAGTAGCAACTTCATAGAAATGAAATCTCTTTTTGCTTATAGTAATCACACAAGAATAGAGAAAGCACACTATCTGTAAAAGAGTGTACTCTGGATTTCCAAAGTGGGCATGAGCGGTTTAAAAGAAGACTTCACCCTGAAGCCTAATAGAGTAGCTGGTACTACGTTTGTTATTCTCAAAAACAATAAAACATGTAGAACATCCATCTAGTCCCAGTATTGGTGGGAATAGTTTATGTCAGACCTTTGCCTCATTTTTGGTTAGATCTAAGCATGTGATACAGATAATAAAACGAGTGCTAAACATGATGTGTTGAAGACTTCAAGAAGGAACAAACCAAGAGTAAAAAATGAGGAAAAAGTACTTTACTGCAGAACCAGGCAACTGACAAACGCCGACTCCTTTGTTAGGCTTATTGAGATTTATCCTGAGGCTTCGACTACAGATTTACAAGTGGAAAACAAATGGTTTATAAATTTTCTGTGCTTTGTTTTGAGGGTTGTGCTGTGTCATTAAAAGGGAAAGGACAACAACAGTGGGCAAACACAGTCAAGAAACCTCGAAGTATGTGCTCAGCTACTTAATAGGTCATGATTTTGGAACTGCAGCCATAAAGGTGCACCTTCTTTTCCCCAGAGTTAAACTAATGTTTTGTTTGTCAGCATCAGTAATAACAATTACAAGTACTCTAAATTCAAAATGTCTTACAGTATAATTTCCCAAAGTAATTTCATTTGTGTATATGTTACAATAACTAATTTCATTGCAGTATCAATACCAGGACTGTTAACCCATTTTCCTCCACCTATGCTCTAAAGGTCGACTGGAAAGCTAACTTCTTTGCAGTCCCTTGAGAACTATGTGAAAGCATAAAGCTAAATTATGCAAAGCTAATGTCCTCTTTAGAGAAAATATGGTGCAGCGCTTTCTACACATCCCACATGGTACAGCATACATCTATACTAATGTGTCAGACAGTGTTATACCAGCAAAATTAATCTCTGATGTTTTCTATTTGTCTAAGATTTTGTGCCAGCCTAACAACATTACATTTATCTACACTGACCACATTTTCCTTTCAAGTTTTAGCAGCAGTTGATCAGTCCATTGATCTGTGGTCACTCTTTGCGCTGACCCTAAACCTCTGTTTACTGTGGTCATATTTCAAGTTTTATGTAAGAGCTGTCGAGAAGGTATTTAACAGCAAACCTTGGAGTGTTTTTAAAGCTGCATCACAGCATGAGTGGTGAATGCATGTGAAAAATAGTCGCTGGTTTGAAAAGAGGATGACTACACAAAGCTCCAGTGAGTTTGTTGTATCACTGATGTTTCCAAGTTCAATAGTTACTGAACACTATATGCAGTTGTTTTCATATGTTTTTGACTACACAATACATTTAAAGCTGTAATGAGGTAGAAAACAAATAATGATTAAAAACAGAGTTCATTTCATGTGCGTGTGGTGGTGGTAGCTCTATAAAGGAAAGACATTCCATTTGTTTTTTAATAAGTAAACCACTGCTTACTGGGATTGATCTTTGTGAAGAAGAATACACAGACTTCTGTAAGCCTGAATGCGTGAAGCTGTGGATTGAGCGGAACGCCAGGAACTTTCACAGGAACTCTGCTGCGAATCTCTACCTCAGTGTTCCTTCTCATCCCTGAAATCTAGTTAGTTATAAATAACTTATTGTTGTGTATGCTCATTTTCTTTCCGAATCCAGACACAATGAAATAATAAAAGGTTAACATCTTCATAATTACAAGGACAGTTTGCACAGGTTTGTTAAGCTGTTTTGCAAACAAAAGATCTTTTGTGCACCGCTGTGGAGTGCATACAGATCAACTGTGTTCCAGTGCCTCGTGTTATTCATCTAGCTGTCCACTTTGTCTATTTTTCTTTTACAGGAGAGGAAGCTTTGTGCTTTCCCATTTATCGAGATCTATAACTCAGATGTCATCAACTATATGGCTCCGCTGTCTCACCAGACAGACTTCTTTGTTCCAGAGATAATGGGGGAGGTCAAAACAGATGTGAAAGAAGAGGACTCTGATGATGACAGAGGGACTGATATTACAGGTAATAGTTTATTTATGCCAATTACTTTTGTTACAGTTGAGCCACTAATTAGGAAATAATTAATCAGCCATCAGACATAACGTTTTCTCAAACCAAATAATACAAAATACTAAAAGAAATGTCCATTGGTTTCACTGAAAACATTTTTTTTAAAGTAAAAAAAACAAAAACAAATGGCAGCTGGATTGTGTTACTGTGTTTTATAATCTAATAGCAAGCTAATGAAGTGTGTTGATAGAAACACGGCTCTATAGAAGCTACAGCTTGTGTCTGCTAGGAGCAATCAAAGAGGAAATATGCTGCAACTTTTATTTTGTCTGACAGTGTACTGACATCCCTCCTGCCCTCCATCACCGAGGACATGTGATATATGAGAGTCTGTAATTGTTCTGTCACTGCAAGTATGTGTCTTCAAGCGCAG